GATATAGAACTTTAGTCATCAAGAAGAAATAACAGTTATAAAATTTTACTACTGTAACAGAGAATTAAGGATATTGCTAGTGTGCCATGAACATTCACTACTAACTTAACCCTGATGACTCAAGTTTATATATGGTGATGGTTTTATTATGGTGAAGGATTTATTGTACATATAGATGACAGATACATAACTACTCATTTGAGGTTGTCCCGACTTGGACGGAAGAAGAATTCCAGAAGAAGAAGATCAATCTTGGTTTTCGTGTAGTGTCATCAGAGGTCAAACACGCTCAGTCTTTGTTTCCGTGAAGTGTGTACAGAGCCATAAGCGACCAAACTTGGTTTCCGTGTATAGGCAGAGTCATACTTTTTCAATCTTGGTTTCCGTGCAGTGTGTCCAGAAACACGACCAATCTTTGTTTCCGTTAAATGTTTACGGATTATCAATCAATCTTTGTTTCCGTGTAGCGTATTGAGAGCCATACACATTCAATCTTCGTTTCCGTGCAGTGTGATTAGAGCCTAGCACGATCATCTTCGGTTTCCATGCAGTGTATTTAGACTCATACAGTAACACGATCAATCTTAGTTTCCGTGCAGTAGGTTCAGAGTCCGGGATACATGCTCCCAACACATTGCACATGAATAATACCGTTGTGTTTACAAGGTATGCACATGATACAGGGAAAAAGGTCATGTATGCAGTCGAAGAGATAAAAAAAAAATCGCGTTATCATGCTCTGGATGTACACACTGCAAGGATATCAAACATGGCCATGTCCCAAAAACTCTATACACACTGCAAGGATATCAACTATGGGGGAAGCTTTTAATATAATTCAGGTTTTTTTTTTATTTATTGTTGTATACTATAGTAAGTATATACATCAAATAGAACAGGCCAATTTTTTATATAATTTAGTTTTACAAATAGACAGTTAAACCGTATAAAACTTGTGAATGTTCGGGTAGCTTCAATTGTACTATTGTATATATAAGGGGCTTGAAGAGGGGTCTTCATTTCTGTATCATTTCAATTATTTTTTCGGCAATTATATTCATCTATTATTTAAATTATTTTTTCGGCAATTATTCGTATATTATTTAAATTATTTTTTTCGGCAATTATTCATCTATCATTTAAATTATTTTTTCGGCAATTATCTATTAATTAAATTATTTTTTCGGCAATTATTCATCTATTCTTTTAATTTTTCAGTCATTTTACTATATTCTTTATAAATTTTATCCATTATTCTCTTTTCTTTATATTTTAGCATCCAATTATATTCTATCTATAATTTTTGGTCTATTTCTTCTATTCGTTATTTTTCGGGGCCCATTATTTTCTATTCTGCAACCCCTATTCAGACCCTCGTGTATTTTTTTTCGCAAGGATACAATGTTTTCATTTTTAGAAATAAACAAAATCTGAAATATCTCCTTTACTATTTACATACAAGTTACATTAACTATTCTCCCTCGGTATATCAAACCATTCCAGGGACCAGTTTTATTGGTACTATCGAAATTCGTTTTGAATAAAGAGGACATGAGTGACACGAGGGTGCTCATTTCCCGAATCCCACTTTCTGTAATTTCTTCCCACTACCCACTTTCCATTCCCCCCCCCCTTCTTTTTCCCAGATTCACCTTTTCTACACGATTTATTCCACATCCCAAACAGCATGTCATCTCCTCATAGAGTATATAAAAAGGCCATAAGAAATTTTTTATATCACTATATGAAATCTTGTACATCACTATATACTGTAAATTAGATATGCACAGTATGGTCAACCTTGCAAAGTTTACTTGATGCACTAGCCCATGCACAGTATGGTCAACCTTGCAAAGTTTACTTGATGCACTAGCCCATGCACAGTATGGTCAACCTTGCAAAGTTTACTTGATGCACTAGCCCATGCACAGTATGGTCAACCTTGCAAAGTTTACTTGATGCACTAGCCCATGCACATGAACTTAAGTCTGAAAAGTTCCAAAAAACTGATACAGATGAATTAATATTGTATAAAAGTATTAGTATTAGTAAATGCTAAGTTGAAGTACTAGAATTCTTATTTCAGCTTCCCAGCTAGCTTTTTAAGAGAGCAGAAATAGTCCTCTCTAACTCTATAGTCAAGTCATGTATGTGATATTTTCTACAATCAGAACCCTTGCAACAACTCTCTGTCAGTGAGTCTGAAGGGTGCATAGGTCGGCTGAACATTACAAGGCAAAAATGCTACCCCTATATATACAACATACACGTACGGTTGCCTATATAATTGCTTACATCCACTTTAATTGAACTTTGGTGGATAGTTGTCTCATTGACAATCATACCACATCTCCTTATCTTTATACTAGTACCCTCTTTTTTACAGAGGCAGTCCAAAATTTCCGCCCTTCATCCTAGTCGACATACCCTACAGAACCTACCTATTGTATTAAATGTAAATGTACTTGCCACTGAACGCTAAGCAAGAAACAATCAATAAAAAATTCATAGGGAATGTTGTTCATTATACGATATTCCATGCAGAGCTTGCATTTCCTATCAAGATTTCCTTGATAGAGGGTTAATTGCTGCTTACAAGGAAGCTTTTGAAATCATCCCTTCGAAAATTTGACGGACGCCATCACGAGTTGGCTTATGGAATATCTGTTTAGCCATATGAGGGAGGATGTGTTCCAATGTCGTAAACACAATCCGTCCTCTTTTCCTCTAATGTGACATACCTAAAATTGAGAATGGAAATGGGGAATATGTTAAAGAGACAACAACCCGACCAAAGAGCAGACAACAGCCGAAGGCCACCAATGGGTCTTCAACGCAGCGAGAAAATCCCGCACCCGGAGGTGGTCCTCAGCTGGTCCCTAAATAAAATTGTGTACTAGTTCAGTGAAAATGGACGTCACACTAAACTCCAAAATATATAAATGAACTAAAATTAAAAAACATACAAGACTAACAAAGGCCAGAGGCTGCTGACTTGGGACAGGCGCAAAAAATGCGAAGGGGTTAAACATGTTTTGTGAGATCTCAACCCTCCCCCTATACCTCTAGCCAATGTAGAAGAAAGAAACACATAGCAATACGTACAGTAAAAATTCCGTTTAAAAGAAGTCCGAGTCCGATGTCAGAATAGGTAACAAAAGAAACTAAGCAAAATGACAATGATACATAAATGAACAAAGGACTACTAGCAGTTACTGACATGCTAGCTCCAGACCTCAATTAAACTGATTGAAAGATTATGTCTTCATCATATGAAAATCAAGTACAATTCCCCCCGTTAGGGGTTTAGTATCATACCATCATAAAATATATGAGAAGAATATAACCCGTATCATGCCAACAACTGGTTTTAGAATAAATGTGTTTATTTCCGATGCAAAGACCCTATGAGTGATCAATATTAATACCAAAATATGCAATCCTTAATGACTTGACAACAGTATCGTAACTATATCCTAGTAGACTTATCAACGGATTAGGACTTGCATAAGCAACACGATGGGCGCTACATGTGGAGCAGGATCTGTTTACCCTTTCAGAGCACATGAGATCACCCAAAGTTTTTAGGGGGTTCGTGTTACTCAGTCTTTATTTTTCTATGTTATGTTTTATATACTGCAGCATGTTTGTCTTTATAGGTCGTTTTTTGCCATGGCATTGTCAATTTGTTTTCGAAATATAAGTTTTATTATCCCTTTGGTATGTTTCGTCTCTCTTTTGACGTAGCAAAATTTCGACAGTATACTGGTTTATTGGCCTATATGGAATATATCTAGGAAGTTATACAGTTCGTTTATGTACATAATACATAATCGATTTCAACCAATCATAACATGCAAATGTAATTTTCTGAGAAGACTCAGAAGAGTATGTATATAATCACTATTATGCAATAAATGACAGAAATTTTAATTAAATATTGATTAGTTAGATGTTTTAAGTTCAATAAATAAAAAAATATCAACAAATATTAAACAGCTAATTAAACAAATTCACAAAAGTTATAATTTTAACTATAGTGTATGGTAATTATTCACATCATTAACTGTAGAAGGCTTCGCCAATTCCATTCATAAAAGGAGAAAAAACCCAAAAACTCATACATAGAAAAGAGCATTAAAATGGGAGAGGGCTCCCCCCCCCCCCCCCCCGAAAAAAAAAACAAACTTGGTAAACCGCAAACGAAATACAACTGATCAGACTTTTTTCCAAAGACCATTCATAAATCTCAAACTGTGTATGGGAAATCGTTTTTAGATAATATTTTGTATTTTTTGTTTATCAAGATACATATTTAAAACATATTGTAAATATTATATAAGATATATAATACAAAATTGATGAGTTTTTTTTTTACCAAAAAAAATAGAAGATCATGTCTTGCTTACGGATATCTTAATTCTTTATATATAAAAAAAGAAGATGTGGTATGATTGCCAATGAGACAACTCTCCACAAGAGACCAAATGACACAGAAATTAACAACTATAGGTCACCGTACGGCCTTCAACAATGAGCAAAGCCCATACCGCACAGTCAGCTATAAAAGGCCCCGAAATGACAATGACGGTATAACATTTCAAACGAGAAAACTAATAAGATATTTTACGAAGAAAATTTTATAAGAAATCTCATAATTAACTTAAAAAAAATAAGACACGCAGGCCTAATGAATTAATCTAATAAAATTAATAAAATATCCAAGGATACAGAAATCAAAAGTTAGTGTAAAGATCTGTAAACACTAATTTGATCTAATTTAGAAAACGATTGTACATTGTAAAAAGTAAATAAGATTATAATTGAATATTGCTTCAAAACAATCATGACTTAATCAAGAACGTTCCTCTCTATATGGAAAAGCATTTATTATGGAAAAGCAAGAAAATATTATGTAAACACACTACGGGGAATCTTTGTTGACAAATCTATTATTAGCTTGGTCAATGTGACGTCACAAGTTCACAGTGTCTGCTAATTTCATTCAATAGAGAGTTCCCCTCGCGAGAAGAAGCACATGGTGAAGTTCAATGTTTTTCTGTGATTTTTTCTATAGTGATTGGATTTATAAGTAGGAAACTTGTACTGGCAGATAAATTAAGCTTTAAATTAACTCCCTCAGCAATATGAGGCGAGGAATCCTTGACATTCCATGGATATGCACCTGGTTAATCGTTGCAGTTTTTCTTGTGTCAACGAGGGGTACAAAAATTTCACTTAAAAGTAAGTAATTTTATTTTGTAGCAAATTTGGTCACGTATAATAAATTTGGAAAATATGTTTGTAGTTTGAACGGTAATCGAAAATCCATAATTGATTTAGAGCAATGTGTGCGGTATTTACATAACGACCCACCCTCGCAGGGCCTCTTTCGTGAAGGTGGAAAAGTTGTTTACTTATAAAAAGATGACGGACGATTAAATTGTCAGTGAAATAAATGTTTGTTTGGTCGAATTTATACTTATTTAGCTTACTTTACTACTTTTAACGTGCTTTACAGAATAAAAATACCAAATTTGGGAATATAACATACCTGTGTATTGCACTGTCCCCCCTTTTTGCGTTGTGTGATTAACCCTCTCGGCGCATTTACTTAATGCGTTTATACAAAAGAACTATTCTTTATTTACAGTAAACAAATTAAATAGCAATTCTGTCACCTTTAAAGTTTTAAATAGTTGCGTAACACGCACCTGCTTCTAATGAAGCAAATATTTTTGTGGTCATTTTTTTTGACAATATGGCGACACTTTATTTATGTCACATGACTTTCAATAGACCCTGTAGATGATGAGCCTGCAATTTAATATCTCAGGAAAGCTTTTGTCATTGTATAAACGAAAGATCAACTTATAAATGATAATCTATCAATGACATTTTAAAGGTCAAGAAAAGTTCATTTTTACTTGATCAAGTAGAAGAAATATAATATTGTTTAAAAGTCATTTTAAATTCATTGAATTTTAACTGATTTTATCTGATGACATGGCACCATACTCATATGACAAAAAAAAAATGAACCTTTATATTAATTTTTGTTTTTTTTAAAATTTAAAATCCCAAAGGAAAAAATTTCCCTGTTTTCATATTTGGAATACACATAAATGTAACAACAATTAAATTTTAAATGTACACTCTAGTCATGAATTTGGTTGAAAGCGCCTCAATCTTAGTCCCGAAGACAATTCTTGTGTACAAAATTGTTTACATGTAGGTTCATATCTGGATTTTCTTAATATTTGCAGATAGTCCTTTTAAAATTTTACATACTGACATATTGGGCACAAATATTAAAATTTATGTAATGTATTTTTCATATATTTTAGAAAGATGGGGATGGGGGGGGGGGGGGGGGGGGAATATGATACTAACTATTTTTGGAATGTTAGTCCCATAATTCGCTCAATAATTTTAAGACCACACAGATATATTTTTAAATCAACAATTATGTTCAATGAAATATTATCATAATTAAAAAATAGAAATAGATATAGAGTGAAGTTATTTGTAATCAAAGACAAGGAAGATGCATTTATGCTAAATTGAAAAAAAAAGTTTTAAGAGCATGAGAAATTTTGAAATGATAATATTTCAGATGCTTGCTCAATTTCTATGTAGATAGCCAAACAATGTCAACAATTGATTATGTTTTCAATAATTAGATATTGACTTACTGTGTTAAGTCAAAGACAATCTGAGCTTATGTTTTTTAGTTAAAGTTTGTTAGTAATTATTTTACTTTTAATTTATTTCTGAAGGACACTGATGGACTAAATGATAAATGCAATTGTTTACTTGCATTTACATGATTTAGGGCTTCCTTCCCAATTTTTTTTTATTGTATTTGAAAATTAATGATAAATACATTTGTATATGTACAAATGAAATATAATCGTGTATTCTCTTTTGATTATTCCCAATGACCAATCAACTTTTTGTCCAATTAGGGAACTTGAAGTATAGAAGAATATTTACTGATTTAATCTAGTCACTTCAATCATAGTTTGTTCATTTTTTAAAACACAATATTTATGTTTTATAAATATCGCAATTTTCCCATTCAAGGATTATCAATTGGCAAGTTTTATGGACTTAATGATATTAACTCAATTGTGAAACAAGGCTGTTAATTAAAGATCATGTAATAAATAGAGAGTTTAAATACACAAGTTCTCCATGGTCTGTGATCGCTAACAGCTGTTTATGAACTGTCACAGAAGAAATGATTGATCTATTTATTGATAAATTTTACAGCATCATTTATGATATCTGATATCAAAGGGAACACCTGTTCTGTTATTTTACCTGTAACAAGATAATTGTTTGATACCAGGTAATACACCTATTTGGTCCATTCATGATTAAAGAACAACTACACAAAATTTGTTTAAGCAATTTTTTACAAAATGACTGGTTAAAATAATAAATTATTGTTAACTTATGGTGTATGCAATTACATGTACTGTTTCATAAAAAAATACCTGTAACGAGATTATTGTTTGAGCAAGGTAATACAGGTATTTGGTCCATTCATGATTGAAGTACAATCCTACATAATTTGTTTAAGCAACTTTTTATGAAAATTAGTGGTTTAAATGATAAATCATTCACGATTGTTAAGTTATGGTTTTTATGCAATATGGTGTACCTGAGACTAAAACTTTTAATTATTGTTTGAAACCAGGTAATACAGGTATTTGGTCCATTCATGATTTAAGTGCAATCCCCCATAATTTGTTTAAGCAATTTTTTAGAAAATGACTGGTTAATTTGATAATTTAAATTATTGGTAAGTTATAGTCTAATTGCAATTACAGGAACTGTTTTATAAAAAAATTACGTGTAACAAGATTATTGTTTGAAACCAGGTAATATAGGTATTTGGTCTATAATACATGATTTAAGAACATCCCAAGTAATTTGTTTAAGCAACATTTTACATAAATTTCTGGTTAAAATGATTAATCACTGTTAAGTTATGGTCTATGCAATTACGTGTACCAAATTATTGTTAATTTATGGTCTATGCAATTACGTGTACCTGAGACGTAGATGTAATGTTAATTTAGTCTTGACAAATTAATGTTTTTTTTTTTAGTTATGTAAATCAGACTCCAACCAATGTTGATATACTGTACAAATAATCAGTCTAATTAATCTTCAAAATAAACAAACATGTAGGCTGTATTAGATATCTTTTCCAAATACAAATTACATGTTCGATACAGTTCAGTTGGAGTAAATGTCATTTTTACCTGCACAAAATGGGAAGCCCATGGCCATTCAAATTTTACTCTGATTTTGTACAAAAGCTTAACTTATTTTTTCAACAGTATTTTATTTTCATGTTTAAGTCATATGATGATAGGGAAGATGTCCACCCTTAAGGATGGGCTCACAGTGCCATTTGGAACTTTTGACCACTTTATACCCACTCCAATCATCAGGGTTCTCGGTAAAGCAACTAGATGAGATTTAGACTCACTATTTTCTGTCGGACCCACACAAATTTCTGAAAATATTGATCAGTTAAGTTTAATGTTGGGACTCACAAAAATTTTGGGAAATTTTGAATTTTGAAGCTCGAAAGAAAAATTCTGAGATAATCCTGCGTCATGGATAGGTTGAGATGAGGAAATCCTCCAGAGGTGTAGCAAAACTCCTCAAAAGATAAACAAAACAAATGTCACAAAATTGAACTCAGGCCAAATGAATTTTATGCAAAATAATTTTTCACCATTCCGATTGATTGTCTTAATTACTATTTTGTAGACAGATTTTTTCCTTTCTCATTTACATCTTTCGCAAACTAATCATGCAGTAACGCAATTTCCCGAGTTTGGAAAGAGCATGTGTCACCATTAGGCTTATTAAGAGAATCTCCATCAAGATGGAAAAATAATTTTAAGAACTTTAGCTGTGATCGATAAAGCAAAATTGCTTTGGGACTTGTTTGACAAACATTTATTCAAAGTTTTGTAATCCATTGTTTATTACGGATGTTTTTTCCGAGTGGCACATCTGGAAATGGATGGGATTTCATACCTTCTCTGTTTGTTGCTTGACTTTGATTCCTGAGACAATGTTTAATATAAAATAATCCTGTCTCTACATTTTGACATCTGCGTTTCATTTTTTACTGTTTTATCTATATTTATGTATATTTGTTTACTTCTAATAGTTCTATGTCTTGTGGTCTCTGGTGAAAATTTGTCGCATTGGCAATCATATCACGTCTTTTTATTTTTGTATTGTTTACTATATATACTTTACATTGTATAAATTAAACTGCAAGTATCTTTTTTTTCTATCATCATCAAAAGTTTCAGAGTTTTAGTGTTCTGATAAAAATCTAAATGTGAAAGAGAGGCGAAAGATACCAAAGGCACATTGAAACTCATAAGTCGAAAATAAACTGACAGCGCCATGCATATGGCAAAAACAGAAAAAAAGACCAAAAGACAAACAACAGTATACAAAACCCAACAATTGTTACATAGAAATCTAAAGAATGAGCAACAAGAACCCACCCCCCCCCCCCCCCAAAAAAAAAAAACGTTACAGGGGTAATCTCAGCCTCAGATGCTCGGGAAATTTGGATTTAAGGATTAGCACTGATTCTTGTTGAAAATGGAAAGCTTGATTATGTTTAAAAAAAAAATGAATTCATGTGTTTTTGTTTGAACTAAAGTATTTTTTGGTCATAAAGAAAAAGCTTTTAACAGTAGTTAGATTTGATAATTTTTGCATTGAAAAGTATATATTTTCCTTCAGAAAACGAAATGCATACAATACAGGACAGGACTATTACATGATAAGGGGGGCAAAGGGGAGATGTTTCCCTCCATTATGGGCTAGCAAGTACACAGTAAAAGAGTAGAATATTGTTAACCCTAATTTTTCGTAGGTTGAATGAAGCCTTTATTGTGTATATTATCTATATACTAATATTAAACAATGATAATTCCAGGATTTCACAGTTAAGGATGTGATTTGTATACATTCATTTATTATAAGGAAGTACTCAGTAGTGTGGTTAAAAATATATCTGCTGCATTAGTTTTATTACACAGGTATACATTTTGAAACATTGGGACTCAAAATAGAACTGAATAAATTTAATGATTTCATCGAAATGCATAATTCTTTCAATTCAGTTCAAACTTTATTGTCATATATTATAAATCAACTTCTATGATTTGTGACTAAAACAAACAAAACTA